CCCAAGTCTTCCCTTCTTTGTCTAATTTATCTCCCTGGGAGCCCCCTGCGAGTTTTAATTTTACACATGTTGTAAACTATAAATAATCCAGTTCCACTTCCCTAGAACATGTGGAAACTGTAGCCTGCTATATATCCTAACTGTACTTGCTTTCAACTTTAAAAAGACAATGAAGTCCATCTCCAGTGTAAAAAGGCATTTGGCCCTTTTTTGTGTTTTTTGTTAGTTATGACCCAGTGTGGAACAACACAGGAGAATTCTTCTTGTTGTCAACAGAGCACATAAAAGGGTTTACAAGGTGTGGTTGAAGACAGGAAGTCATGGAGCAAATGCTGGTGGGGAGGTGAGGAAGGAAGGAAAGCACTTCCTGAGAGGATACTCCTCCTGTTTAAGCTACATCCTCTCTTCACATCTCTACCTGTTTATCTTAACCAGTAATTGATAATAAATGGTCTTTACTTTTCCTATTTTAAAAGCATCCTTTCCTTACTGAAGCTACTCTTAAAACCAAATCTATCACTAACTACAAACCACTTTAAAAAAAAACTTGTTTAATCTTCTAATAATCCGAAATTTTTGTATAATGCATGTATCATTTCTATGTTAGCTGCTTAAGTAGTCTGTGATTGCCAAGATAACCAAGTGTAATGGAATTAACGACGCAGAGTCTAAATCCAAATTGTGGCTGGGTCCCAGGTTAGTCACTATTGAGTCTCGTGTTGTTTTGTACCGTAACATGCTGTACTGGTTTGTAGCCTAGGAGCAATGGACTAGTAGTGTTCAGCAAACTTGTTAGTCAACAGAGCCAAATATCAACAGTACAACAATTGAAATTTCTTTTGAGAGCCAAATTTTTTAAACTTAAATTATATAGGTAGGTACACTGTTATTAACTTAATTAGGGTACTCCTAAGGCTTAGGAAGAACCACACTCAAGGGGCCAAAGAGACGCATGTGGCTTGAGAGCTGCAGTTTGCCGACCACGGGACTATACCATATAGTCTAGGTGTGCAGTAGGCTATACTATCTAGGTTTGTGTATGTGCATTCTATGATGTTCACAAAATGATGAAATCGCCTAAGGAGGCATTTCTTAGAATGAATCCATGTCATTAAGCAGTGCAAGACTGTATATAGCAGGTCCTCGAGTAATGTTTTCTTCAACATTGTGTTTCTATAACTAATGGGGGGAAAAATAGATTCTTGGTGAGGCCACTGTCTGTGTGGAGCTGGCAAGTTCTCCCCATGTCTGCATGGGTTCCTCTAGTGACCCCGGTTTCCTCCCACCTCCCAAAGCGGTGCACGTGGGGTTAACTGGCCTGTGAAAGTTTTCCAGTGAGTGGGGGTGTGTGTGTGCCCTGTGCTGGATGGGCCTCTTGTCCAGGGTTGGTTCCCACCTTTCATTGAGCTGCCAGGAGAAGCAGCCACTTATGACGGGAACTGGAATCAGCTGGTTGAAAAAGACTTATTTTACTTATTACTAATCTTTCTTAAATGTCTGCATAGCTCACATTTATTTGAATCTATACTAATATAAGGGTAATTTGCTAATTAGAGTGGAGTCTTCTGGACGTCCTTCCGGACAAAGCTGCGGATGGCCGCTGCCACTGCCAGGGCCCGGCTGAGACTCAGGCAAGCCGCGGTGGCTGAGAGGGCTGAGTCTCAGGCAGGTGGTGGATGGCGGCTGCCACTGGGAGGGCCCAAGGCTCAGGCAAGCTGTGGTGGCTGCGAGGGCCAAGGCTCAGGCAGCCGCTGCAGTCGGCAGTGGCTGCAGCGGGGGGGGGGGGGGGGGGGCGCGTCACCTTCCCCTGATCCACCAGGTCGCCTCCCTCAGAGGAAGGCCAGACTATGGCTTAGGCCCGCTCCCTATGGGGAGCGGATCTAAGCCATCAGTAGGACATCCCCTGAGGGCTCCTGGACTGTGAGAGGGGGCAGGTCGGTCTGAGGGACCCCTACTCCAGTGCACAAATTTTCATGTACCGAGCCTCTAGTGTTTAACATTAGAGGTGTTTTGTGTCTTTATTTAGAAGTTTGGTAAGGTTTCTGTGACCAGAAATATGCCATAGAAACTTAACTCTTGTTTCTATCAATTAGCCTATGGTAAAATTCGTGTCGCTCTACATCATTTTGCTTAAAGTCTCAGTTATCAAGAACCTACTGATGGAGTTAAGTGAGGACTTACTGTACACACACCCACATATATCTTATTGGTGCCATTTCTCTGGAGAATTTTGACCAATATAGATACCTACAGTTGACTTTGGCACTACCATGATCTATTGTAGCACACGAGTTTAGAGTATCCGAAATTAGGCCTAACACTACAAAGGGGTTTGGGGGTGGGGAATATCCATCTATATCTGAAACTTTTTCCCAGTACTCTGAGATAGCATCATGTCAAAACACATAATTCAGCCAAAAGCTCTAACCTGGCTTCATCAACTCTTCTTTTTCTCCTTTTCCAAATTTCAGCATTCAACAATGCTTGGAAGAGAAAAACTCCTCTTCCAAGGGTGATATACAAAACCTTCTGTTTCTGTGTTTTACCTCCCTTCCTCTTCACAACCTTCTTTTTGTAGTTCCCAAAGAAATACAAATGATAAGAAACTGTGGTAGTTCTATGGGACTAAATGTTAAAAGTTACCTTGAAAAATTTGCAAGGCTACAAAAAATGTAGTAAGGTTTCAAGAAATTCTGCCTTAAGTGAAAGTAATGCTCTGAGCCCTGGCTGGTGTGACTCAGTTGGTTGCACCGAAAGGTTGCTGCTTTGATTCCTGGTCAGGGCACATACCCAGATTGCCCGTGTTGGAGGCAACAGATCAATTTCTTTCTCACATGATGTTTCTTTCCCCCTTCCTGTCTCTCTCTGTCTAAAATATGTTTTAAAAACCCCCACAAAAAACCCTTCTAACAACAACGAAAAAGTAATGCCCCGAGTACTCCAGATGAGAGATGATGATGGCTGAAAATAGGGCAGTTGAAGGAGAGGCGAATGTAATGGTCAAATGTACATAGTTTGAAGAGAGCCAAAAGGACTTACTAATGTATTAATGTAAGAACGAGATGAGGGTAAGGAGATCTCCAAGGATTAAAAGAAGGGAAAAAGAGTGCTGTAAGAGAAACCAAATAAATTGTTCAGTAACCAAAAAGAAATCCCAGCAGTAATGATACTAAAAGAATCCAAACATCTGGTAAAAGTAAAGATGTTTTTATTAAAGCAAAACTTATTTTCCTTAAATTGTTATGCTATCCTACTTGGATATAGGCATTGTGAAGAAACATAACAGAGATACTATGTACAGTAGGCACTAAAAGAATATATATTTTTAAAAGTATGTTTTTATTGATTTCAGAGAGAGGAAGGGAGAGGGGGAGAGATATAGGAACATCAATGATGAGAGAGAATCATTGATTAGCTGCCTCATGCACGCCCCCTACTGGGGATAGAGCCGGAAACCCGGACATGCACCCTGACCAGGAATCAAATGGTGACCTCCTGGTTCATGGGTTGATGCTCAACCAAGCCACACTGGCCGGGCTCAAGAAATATTTTTGAATGAAAAAGAAAATTGTTGCTAATCGGATTTGTACATATGCCAAACACCATACTTTCCTTTTTCTTTCTTCCTCCTCTTGTCCTTAGTCTGGAACTGCCAGGCCATCGAAGGGTAAATGTGACTTTCCTGCTTTTATTGAGCAGTCTTTTAGCATCCTGTACTTTCAGTACCCTATACTTATAGTTATCAATCTTGTGCTTTAAAATTTCAATTTGAAGCATTATCTTATAAAAAGCAATTTAAAAAACATTATCAGAACCAGACCATAAGGAGACTGTTTCAAGGCTAGAATACTGATAGGTAGATAAAAGGGCAGAATGTTTTTCAGGGAACAATGAATCAGTCTCTGACATTTTTGTTCTATGAATCTCTCAAGAACAGTGAACCACTTTAAAGGGAGAAAAAAAAAACCACTGGGAAAAAAATGTCATAGTTCATATATCCATGTGCTCTTTAGAATTCATTTTTTAAAAAAAATTTATTTTATTGATTTTTTACAGAGAGGAAGGGAGTGGGATAGAGAGTTAGAAACATCGATGAGAGAGAAACATCGATCAGCTGCCTCCTGCACACCCCCTATTGGGAATGTGCCTGTAACCAAGGTACATGCCCTTGACTGGAATCGAACCTGGGACCCTTGAGTCCGCAGGCCGATGCCCTATCCACTGAGCCAAACTGGTCAGGGCTAGAATTCTTATTTACATTTCTAACTTCTTTGGATCATCACAAGGATATACCTCCTAATAAAAATGAAACTACAGCCCTAACCGGTTTGGCTCAGTGGATAGAGATCAGCCTGAGGACTCAAGGGTCCCAGGTTCGATTCCCGTCAAGGGCATGTACCTTGGTTGCGGGCACATCCCCAGTAGGGGGTGTGCAGGAGGCAGCTGATTGATGTTTCTCTCTCATCAATGTTTCTAACTCTCTATCCCTCTCCCTTCCTCTCTGTAAAAAATCAATAAAATATATTTTTTAAAAAATGAAACTATAACTCCATTTGAAATACTTCAGCACACATTATATACCATAATGAAGTAACACAAAGGAACTTTTTAACACAGGATTTCCTTCTGAAGTTTAAATGTGAGGCAAACAGACGTATGACTTTACAACAGATGGAACCCCAGAACCTTCCCAGGATACGTAAAACTGAATTTTGTGTTATATTCTATGTCTGAGACTTCTAGCCAATACAAATTGATGGCTAGGGTTTCTTTACTAATTGTTTTTTCCTATCTTCTCTTTCCAACATCCAAATTTAATAATTCAGTGTTTCTTTTAATCCCCTGGATGAGCATTCCAGAATGTATATGATTTTCATAATTTGCTCTGTGATTTATAATCTTAAATGTGTGCATATGCTGTCTATTCTTCAATCAAATCATAATAATAATCAATTCATGTAACCCAACATATGTACTCTGACAAGAAAGAAAACCAAATCGTCACTAATAAAACAAGTTTATTTTATATTACAGTTTTCAAAAACCACATTTGTAAAATTACCCCTATATTAGGTCTAAAAGGTAGCCTTTACAAAGAGTTTACAAAACTACTTTCTCTTAACTATTAAAGTACATAGATTTAAAAGGTTTTAGAAGAAAAAAAATGTTAATTCATGGTAAACATTTAAAGAATTCTTACACATTAAATCTGTAGGATACCTTAGAAGGTTATGTTTTAAAAAACAGAGAAAAAAATGTCTTTCCCTTTCAGAAAACTTTACTCTTAAATTATGTTTATTTAAAAATGTACACTGTGTATTATACTGACAATGATCTTCCCAGATTTAACTACTAGCTTACATTAATAGTAGTGAAATACTAATTACTTATTAATTACTAATTAATTAATTACTTAGCTTGCAAGTCAATCAGCCCATATAAGAGAAAACAGGAAATTGCTTTCTAATACATATTAACTCCTTAATTTTCCTGATAAAATCAAAATCAAAATTTAGTCTATTACAATTAAACACACAGATTATTGATATTAAAGATAAGAAAGTATTGTATTATTTTGAATAACACAACAGTTCAAGCATTCCGGAAGCATAAACTGTTATTTCAAAAGGAAAAAAAATAAAAGGAAGGAAAATATATTTGTTTAACCACTGTCTTACAGAAATTTAGAATATTTACATCTTTATAACACTGTAGAAATCTTTGGTGGTGACATATGGATTAAGTTCCCTGAAAACACTTTAATAATTTTGTTCCATCAATCTGTGTAGTCAAGTATTCATAATTAGTAATGCCGGCAGTATCATTTTCTAGCCAAATCCACATACATATAGTGAAGTGTGTGGAGGAAATCTTATGCAGGTCGTAGGCGGGTTTATATAATTAATTACTTAGCAAGTAGGCTTATTTCTGGCTCATTTTTTATACCAGAAAAATAGAATAAACTAAAGAACAAATCAATTCTTACATCTAAGCAAACTCTGGAAATAGTTAATATTAATGAACAAGTTGAATGCATATATGTTAAAATGGCTACAATTTCTGGATAAACTTTAACAGCTACCAAAATAGTGCCCTAAATAGGCTTGTGCAGCATGTGATGCCCATTCACACCAAGTGGTAGTGGTGGGAAAACAAGGCACTGTGGTCTAGGGATAAATTTACCTCTTCTAAAAGCAGTAGACTTATAAGCAGAGAAACAAAACTGTCCTGCTCAACCTTAAAAGAAACTAAAATGTATAAGCCTATTATACAAGGTTCAAAGGAAAGGGCATGCTAAAACACATAAGAGAAAAGCGCCCTGGCCGGTGTGGCTCAGCGGTAGAGTGTTGGCCCAAGCACAGAAAGGTGCAGGGTTTGATTCCCGATCAAGGGCATGTACCTGGGTTGTAGGTTTGTTCCTTTGTGTGCGGGAGACAACCAATCCATGTGTCTCTCTCAAATTGATATTTCGTTCCCTCTCTCCTCCTCCCTCCTTCCTACTCTCTTAAAAAAAAAAAAAGTTGAAAAGAAGCAACATTTAAGAAAAGGAGAGGAAGGAAATGACAGGAAAGCAAAATTACATCACTGTATATAAGGATGTAACCAGTACAGTAGAAATACATCAGAGGAAGCATTGTAAGTGTGAAGAGACACAATTAAACAGAAGGATTTAATTACCTCTATGAAACTGGTGTTGTCTTTGATTAAACGTGTTGATTCTAGAAGTGGAGAGGGATACATAATTCCTCCAGTTTAGAAAAGTACGAGTTTACCATGACTAAAGAATAGGTATAATAATGAAATTATATTTGAAAATGATAAAGTGGTACAAATCAGCCCCAATAGATAATGTTTTTGATACACTGTCCTTTACATGACCTTGTCAGGTACTTTGAGATGACACTACCTTTGCACAGGAAAGCAAGGTGTAGCATTTATACTGATAAGTCTAGGACTATGCAATATAAATACACTCTCTTTTCAAGAGTTTTCATCAGAATTCATAGGAATTTTGAATACAAATTAAAGTTTTTCCAGAAACTAAGAGGCTAAAAATTAGTCAAGGTAAAGTAGATGAAAATACTCATAGAAATAAACTTTAGGAGAAAAGACGTTGAATGAATTTTTACTTGGTGTTATGTATCAAGAATGTGAGATAATCTAGAAAAAATACATATTTTAATATATATTTTAAAAAATGTTTTTATTGATTTCAGAGAGAGGAAGGGAGAGGGAGAGAGATAGAAACATCAATGATGACAGAGAATCATGGATTGGCTGTCTCCTACATGCCCTCTACTGAGATCAAGCCCGAAACCCTGATTTGTGCCCTGTGGGGAATCTAACCGTGACCTTCTGGTTCATGGGTCAATGCTCAACCACTGAGCCACACCATTGGGCTAGAAAATATTTTAAGACTTGTATCAAGAGAAGTGTCTGAATTATACTAAGGTACTCCTGAGTAACCATTCTGTTCTCTGCCAACACTCTGAGGAGGTCCGGAATATACACTGTCAGCTGGCTTCATTTCTTAAAAGGTAGAAAAGTCAAAGATCTTACAAATCTCTTTTTTTCTTTTGGACAAACAAGTAGAATCCTCAAGTAAATTACCTGAACAAGTATAATTGTACAAATTTCATTACTGATCACTAAAACCATCACCAGAAATATACTGACTTGGAGTTCATAATGCATAGCTATGAATGCAGGCTAAAAATGCCTTACAGTCCAGTAACTCAAAAATAGCTTGGATTAAAAAAATGATATTTTCTAATATCTATTCTAATAGCTTCTAATACATGAGATTAATGACATCTGTATTTTGCATTGGCAACTATCTTCAGGAAATTATATCAGCCAGAAAAGAAGTGATTCAAGTGATTTTAGTTAATGCCAGATTTATTCATCAGAAGCACATATAAGTGCCAAGCTTGTGAATGGATTGGCTAGATATTTTCATTAGTTAGAAGAAACCTAAGTGCTATACTGGTCTCTGACTCTATTTCATAAAAGCTACTACTTTTAAAATCTGAGAATGTAACCAGTGTTAATAAAAAACATGCTGAGTTCAACTACAATGTACAGCTAAATACAGAAAACTAATAATTAAGATAATTTCTTATCTTTAAATGAGATAAGAACAATTAGTTATATTTTTCTACTAATAAAATCAAGCAAATTTAACAAATGAAACCCACAGGAAAAAAGATGACATCATTTAAGGCATAAATTTGACATATCAGAATCCAACAAATAATAAAGATAGTGTCAGTAAAACTTAAAATGTACAGTCATAAAAAAAGTAAACAATTTTCAAGTGTGCAAAACTAGTCAGGAATAAAAGTGCTATGTGGATACCTGGTTTTCAAATATTTGTTTTGAAAACTTTCAGTTGATGGTGGAAAAACTATAAAGTGTTTAAAAAAAGTAAAAATTTTAAAGAATATGTAAAACATACTTTATCTCACATCATGCCCTTGTGCTATCACTGCTGGATCAGAGGCCTATTTAATGACTATCCTCATGTGATAGCTATAACATAAATGGAGGTAAACAATACAATACCACAAAGGCCGATGGATCTTGAACCATAAGACGACTTTTTTCAAGTATACTGGGTTTGTGTGTCCTCTTAAATCCCAGGCACTTGATGTTGTTGATGAATTTGAAAACAGATTAACACAATTTTCTATTCTTTCTGATATATATATGTATTGCATAACTACCTTTAGTAGTCAAGATTTAAAAGTAATTGTTAAAGAAATAAAAATTATTTAAATTAACAAAAGTAAACCCTACCACCGCCACAATCTAAAGGATTACTTTAATATGTAAATCCTGAACATAATGTTAGGAAAAAAAGTTGATACATTAGCATAATTTGTCTTGGGATACGTGAAGCGCACATGATTAAAAATACACCTGCGGTCTCTTCTTCACTTTGTATTTTAGTGACCCATACCGCACCTGAAGAGAGAGATGTGTTGTTATTGCAAATTAGATGGTTATTTTTTGAAATGATATAAGATTTAATAGTTCATAATCAGCATAAGAATTTTTTAACTTTTCTGATATAGAGAATCAATTATCCTGTAAGTGTGTATGCAAAAGACAACAGTATTTATATTCTAAAAAATGTAGTTGGTTCTATGTTGAATATATGCTGTAGATTATTATCACTAATAAAAAAAACACTAACTGTTATTATTTATGCTTTGCTTGGTACATTGCTCATAGTAATCTGAGGCCATTCCCTGGAATCCTCCATTGCTTTCTGGGCACATGGACAATATATAATTATAAACTTTTACTATTTAATCCTCATGTAGGGTTGCTGGTTCAAAACAGATCTATGTAGTTAATCTTGTTAACTGCTTTCTTTGCTTATGGGTAGGGCTGGAACTGGGTATTTACCACAACCATATCATTCTCTATCTGAGAATGCCATTTTCTACGTGTAGTGGAAGACTAGCAATTTCTAAATTTCCAGAGATCCTACTATATCTGATCTGAATAAAGAATTTAAAAAATAACTGGCTCTACCATCCCAATCCTTCACTTATGGACCATTAACATCCTGAATGATAATGCAACAGGGAAATCCTTTCATATCAATCATTGGGAAAACAACTCTGTAATTGACTAACCTCTTTGCGGACTTTCATGGTTTTCACAGATTTCATGCTTTGCGATCTTCGAAGCCCTTTGTGTGTTAACATCTCATCATCTGAAAACGGCCCATCCGCTTCTTCATCTGTTTTCTCATCTCCGTCTTTCAGCGGAATTCCATAACCTAAGGGAGTTGTCGAAATGAGCATGTTTTGGTAAAAACATACCAGTCAGAACCACCTCTTAACTGCAGTTCTCTGCATGGCCTGCATTTGTCCGGTTACTCCTCCCCTTCCTCATCTGGAATGTGCTCCCGACTCCTCGGCATTGATCTGTGCCTACTGCACTATTCTACATGAAGCTCACATTCATTTCTTCCAGAAAGTTTTCCCTGACCATTTTTTTTTTACTATGCATTTTTCAGAATAAATAAAAATAATTATTTTTGAGTAGGTAACACATTTATCTTGTTCAAAAATCAAAGAATATAAATAGATATATAGCAAAAAGTCTCTTCCTGCCCTTTCTCCTTTTCATGAATTCTAAATAACCTAAGCAATTGTGTGTTTTAGTCTGTCATTTGTACCTTTACTTTAATTAGGAATTTAGGGTTTTCCCCATCCCACGTGGCAAACCTTTTGTCAAGACTTGGAATGGTAGGGTGAACTTAAGGACTCATAGAAGACCCAAAGGGGCTAGAATTTTGGGCAGGTGCACTAGGAGCAGGTGATAGAGATGTTGAACCAACACTGTTGTAGCTGCTGAGATAGAACCCAACCAGACAGGCTACAGTAATTAGAAATACCACAGGCTATGCTGGCAGATGTCAAAGAAAAGAGGCGGCATCCGGAAGGGCAGGAAGAGATTGTGGGGATGTGCGAACAGGCTGCTAAGTGTAGCTGCAAAGGCTTAACGTTAGCAAATATGCAAACATCCAGGCAGTCAGGCTGACTGTTGTCAGGAAGCCCGAGCACCTCCTGATGCTGGGATTCAGGGACAACAATGTTCCTATTCCTGAAGCAGATGGTCCCAAACGTTAGCAGACTATTATGAGTCACCTGGAGAACGTGTTAGTTAATACCCGGATTGCTGGGCCTGAGGTGGACTGAGAATTACATTTCTAACTAGTTTCCAGGTGATGCCTATGCTCATGGTCTAGCAGTGGTTCTCAACCTTCCTAATGCCAAGACCCTTTAATACAGTTCCTCATGTTGTGGTGACCCCCAACCATAAAATTATTTTCGTTGCTACTTCATAACTGTAATTTTGCTACTGTTATGAATCGTAATGTAAATATCTGATATGCAGGATGTATTTTCATTGTTCGCGACCCACAGGTTGAGAACCGCTGGGGCCTACACTTTCGGAAGCACTGCCTGGATGGAGCAAAGGAGGGGCCCGAGTCTAAGGCAACCAGAGTACTAGGTAGGTTATAAAGACAAAGGTGAGTTTACAAGGCCCATTTCAAATTCACCTATTAAAAAGGAACATAAATACCTAAATCTTACGGAGAGAAAAATGCAGCAGGTTTTTTCAGGATCAGAAGGGGATGAGAGATGGATTGCTTGTGTGTGAAGAAAAAGATACTAAACGTTATTAATCTGCTCTCACAGGACATGTGTAACTTGAGACTCACTAAATTGTTCATAAGCTTCTTAGTCTGGTAATAAGACAAACATGTTTGTATATTGAGCTAGTACAATTTAGGCTGCCAGACTTCTAGACTAGAAATTAGGAAGGATTCAGGAGTAGAATCAGTCATTACTGAGGTCAGGATCCTTAGTTTCGCTGCAGCAGTCCAACAAAGTATGTTTTAGGGAGAAGAGAGAGCATGTGCAAAGGCACTAAGACAGGGGGAAGCAACTGCTTGGAAGAGCTGTGAGGAGGCCAGTGTGGCCCAGGGAGGGATGGGTTGGTAGTCCTGGGGAAACACTCCCAATGCAATATGGGGGGGGGGGAGGGGGGGGAATGTACATATAGAAGCAAACAAAGGAAAAACATAAAAACGTACTCATTGTACATCTACACAATGGAATACTACACTGCTATAAAAAAAAAAAAAAGGAATTCTGCCCTGGCCGGTTTGTCTCAGTGGATAGAGCGTCGGCCTGCGGATTGAAGGGTCCCAGTTCGGTTCCGGTCAAGGGCATGTGCCTTGGTTGCGGGCACATCCCCAGGGAGGGGGGTGTGCGGGAGGCAGCTGATCGATGTTTCTCTCTCATCGATGTTTCAAACTCTCTATTCCTCTCCCTTCCTCTCTGTAGAAAATCAATAATAATATTCTTACCATTTGCAACAGCATGGATGGAACTGGAGAGCATTATGCTAAGTGAAATAAGCCAGTCAGAGAACGATAAATATCACATGATCTCACTCATTTGTGGAATATAATGAACAACATAAACTGATGAACAAAAACAGAACCAGAGTCATAGAAGTATTGAATAGACTGTCCAACCTATGAGGGAAGGTGGCGGGGTGAGGGGGTGAGAGATTAACCAAGGGCTTGTATGCATGCATATGAGCATAACCAACAGACACGGGAATGGGGGGTGGTGGTGAGGGCATGTGCTGGGGGTTGGAGGAGGTCGGGGAGAGGTCAATGGGGGAAAAAGGAGACTTATGTAATACATTAAATAATAAAGAACTTAAATGAAAAAAAATGATGAACCCATTGAATCTCTTGAAAATGGACTTTTAGGAGATTTTAAATTCATTTTTCCTTTTTTAAAAAAAAATTTGCCAATTTTTTTTTTAATCCTCACTAGAGGATATTTTTTCCATTGATTTTTAGAAAGAGTGGAGTGGGGTGGGGAGAGAGGGAGGGAGGAAGAGAGGGAGAGAGATGTAGAGAGAAACACTGACTGGTTGCCTCCTGCATGTGCCCTGACTGGGGTCAGGGATCAAACCTGCAACCCAGGTACCAGCCCTTGTCTGGGAATCAAACCCATGACCCTTCGGTATTCAGGCTGATACTCTAACCACACAGGCCAGGGCCAAATTTTTATTTTAAAAACTGTATTACTTCTATAATTGGGGAGAATAGACCAGAAAAAATGTTTTTAGGTTGTCATTTCTACATTTTTCTCTATTGCTACTGCTTACATAATATTCCTGGTCCCAATCTAATAAAAATAAGGTAGAACAGAGAATGAGGAATGAAGAGAAAGAGAGGAAGAATCTGTGACCAGAAAGTTCTCTGAGGCCCCAGATTGAAGCACAAAACTACAGTTCAAAAGACGTGGCCCTTGCTGTTTTAATCCCCTCTCCTTTTATATTAGGAATTGGAATGTCATTCAAAAGATGATATAAATCTTATTTCTGTATTTCCTAATTTTACTTTAAAAATCTTATCAGCTTTCTAATTACAGTTTCAGGAAAAGTGATGACTTTTTTTTTTCTCCCACAAATATTTTAAAAATTCTACATGGGAGGCAGTGTGTTAAATCATGGTGATAAAATGATGAAAAAGACACAACTGTCATTTTCTACCTTAAGAAACTTACAGAAATAGACTCTATTGGGCATTAGAATCCTATAAGAGATGCCACAAATGGAAGATAAGGACAAGGTGCTATCGGAGCAAATAGTAAGAGAGCTAGCTCAGCCTGGGGTTGGGGGAAGTGGGTTGTGAAGGAGGACTTCTTGTAGGAGGTGGTGAGTAAGCTAAATCCTGAAAGGCTCATGATTCTATACAGCTAGCACATGATGGAGTGGGAACAGGCCCAAGGAGCTAATGCACCACATGCTATTGAGTTTGGATTTCATCAGAGAGCAATGGGGAGCCACTGAAGCATGTTAAGCAGAAGGGTTATATGATTATATTTGGATTCTTTAAAAGATTATTCCTGCACTTTGGAGAATAGTGGAAAAGATTGGAAACAGGGGGGTTACTGCAGTATGGTAGGTCAGAAATGACAAAGTCCAAGGAGTGAGGACAGAGAAAGTAGCCAACGATGGGAGGTAAAATAATTAAGTTAGCAACTTAGTAAACCAATCCCTCCAACCAAGAGAGGAGTCAAGCCAAACATCCTCACTAAAATATGCATTTTATCCCCCTTAATACCTGGAAATGAGTATGTATGAAAATTCTGTTGTGAGTGCTAAAAATGATGTTAGTCAATGTTATGCGAGTATTTAAAAGTCTTTGGAGGAGGAGAGGGAGACCTGAGATTATGAGAGAAACCCAAATCTGGATGCTGAATTGAGCAGGAACTCAAGGAGTTAGCTGGCTGCGTGGTTTATGGGTCTGCCAAGCCCGGCCAAGGTAAACTGGTGGGGTACTGCTGGTGTCATACAAAGCTGATGCTAAGGTTGGCTGCTTTAAATCATCAATCTAGACTGGAGAGAGCCCTCAGTATGGTGCCTCCCATGCCTATTCCTGTGGAGTGGTGACTGGGGACCAAAGAATGAGGAGCCTGTGTTGCCCACCCTGGGCCCGGGGCTGCAGCTGTGTGGCTGGCTTCAGCCCACAGCTCTGTAACCATTTTAGAAAACTAGCAGATCCTTTTGCAAACTGACCTGGTTTTTATTCGCAGTTTGTACATCTTACAGTTGGCATATTTTAAGTTTTCTCTCCTTAAAATGGTAATAGCCAATATTGATCCAGTACTTAGCATGTACCAGGCACAGCTCTAAACAGTTTCCATGTATCGATGTAAGTGCAGAATCATCGAAAGTTTGACTTGGAAGGAGCCTTAGCTCTGGTGGTGGAAGGAACCCTGGACACATGTGAGGAGAAATGAGCACTGTGTCTTCTATTAGCTGTGAGACCCAGAGTCATGCCTTTTCCCAGGCCTGCTTTCTTATCTGGTAAGGTGGTGAGAGATGAGACGATGAATAGTTTCTATGTCAATGCCAGCTCTGAGCCAGCTGCCCGGGGCACTGTGTGAGGTGGGATTCTGGGCCATTGTGGGAAAGTGCCACAATCCACTAGCAATGTCTCCTGGCATGGGCATGGGAGTACGCTTGTCGCCTATTTGCTACCTTTGACTAAAGCATCTCTAAGGTCCTTCCTGCTCAAATGACTTGAATTCATAGCTTCAGCCCAATTGTCTCACTAAGTGTAGCCTCTTTATAAATTAAAAAGAGTAATAGCATGGTGAAGGCCTGGGGTGAGTGGTGGGCCAGAAGGTGTCACTGGGGGAGAAAGGGGACATATGTAATACTTTCAACAATAAAGATTTTTTTTTTTAAAAAGCTGTTTGGCTTGGTGGATAGAGCGTCAGCCTGCAGATTGAAGGGTCCCAGGTTAGATCCCAGTCAAGGGCACATGTCTGGGGTTGTGGGCTCAATCCCCAGTAGGGGGTGTGCAGGAGGCAGCTGATCAATGATTCTCTTTCATCACTAATGTTTCTATCTCTTCCTCTCCCTTCCTCTCTGAAATAAATAAGAGTATATTACAAGATTTTTTTTAAAGTAAACATTTGCTTAGGAACCTTGGATACCCCATTTCTGTCACTAAGTATGTAGACTTTAATAAATAATTTAATCTCCTTTAAGTCTCAGTTCATTCATCTACAAAATAAGGATAAAATACTTAACCTGCATAGTCATCTTAAGGATTAGATAAATATATAAAGCACCTAAAACAAACAAGGAATCTCTTTATGCACTGGTATTGAAACTGAATGTTGAACCACTTGTAACTAATATGGGAGCAGCAGGTTCTTTGCAGAGAAAATATTTCCACCTATCAAAACATGGTGTTCTCTCAAGGGACGTGAACAATCATGTTCAACGCATCCATTGTCTTACAGGAAAGCATTTGGAGGAAGATCTTTTTTCCCGTGGCAACAACATAAAGATTTGAATGATTTCATCAAAGCAGGACTTCTTTTGATCAGCTAACCTCAAACTGCCTAGAGCAGGCCATGGTGAGTTTGCAAAGGGGTCCCGTTTTGTAGATATTTGAGTTTGCCTGTGTGAACAAACAGAGCTTCTGAGGTAAATGTATTGATTACATGAACCAGTAAAGACTTTCCACACTTAAAAACTAAGCAATTTGTGTGTTGTTTTTTTTCTTGAGGAATTTTGGAAGTAAATGAAATAGGAAAAAATGCATGATAAAAAAATTTAGTACTTAATTATTTTCAAAAGGGAAAGTGCTGTTGTTTTATTTCTGATTTTGAGTGAAAGGTTGACTTTTTAAAAAATCATTAAAATTCTACTACTTAGAGCTAAACACTGTTAATATTTTAGTAATATCCTCCCAGACTCTCTATTATCTATTGTGTATATTATAACACAATATAATATAACACTATTGGTGCAGGATTATAATACACACACTGTTTAGCTGTTATTGTTTAGGTAGCCCAATGCAAGAAATTAGTGCATGGCGGGGGGAGGGTGTCCCTCAGCCCAGCCTGCACCCTCTCCAATCTGGGACCCCCCAGGGGATGTCCGACTGCCAGTTTAGGCCCGATCCCGCCTAAACCAGCAGTCAGACATCCCTCTCGCAACCAGGGACCGCTGGCTCCTAACTGCTCACTTGCCTGGTCACCCCTAACCACTCTGCCTGCTGGCCTGCTCGCCCCCAACTGCCTCCCCTTGCCAGCCTGCTCGCCCCCAACTGCCCCCCCGCCAGCCTGTTCACCCCCAACTGCCCCCCTTCTGGCCTGATTACCCCCAACTGCCCCCCACTGCCGGCCTGCTCGCCCCCAACTGCATATACCCTTTTATTAGTATAGATTCCCCTATAATCTGGTTATATTTTCATTTCAGTAAGTATAGACTGACCTTATTATTTTTCATGGCTAATAAAGCACCTTTTTGCTTAAACATTTCTCATAGGTATTTGGTTTGTTCCAACATTTTGTTACTACAAACAATGAGATGAACATACTTGTACATACATCTCTGAACACTTGTCTGATTATTTCCTTAAGGCATATTTCTAGAAGTTTCTTGTTGAGTTAAAGGGATTAAATTTTTATAGTTATTGCCAGACTGTCATCCAAGAGGATTATTCCACTTAAATCTCTCATAAAAAGTATACGAGAGTGTTTGTTTCCTAGCATGCTTGCTGTGGTGGTTTTAACACATGTTCTGACACTTTTCTCTTCGGACACTGGCTCTGAGCCAGGTAAGGAGTCCAATGATCCTCAGAGACCATGGAGAGAGAGAGAGGGAGAGAGAGGGAGGGAGAGAGAGAGAGGGAGGGAGGGAGGGAGAGAGAGAGAGAGAGAGAGAGAGAGAGAGAGAGAGAGATATGCTGGAGAAGCTCCAGCTGTTTTAGCTACCAGCTGTTTGACTCTTTTTAGCTCAAATGTGTAAGTGAAGAAGCCTTTCACATTATGCCTCCAGCCCCAGCTGCTGTTTGACTATAGATGTACAAGACCCTGAGCAAGAACTGCCTTACTGAGCCCAGTCACCCCCCAGACTATGAACAATATAAATGACCATAATTTTTTTAAAAATCACTATTTGGTGCCCAGCCAGCGTGGCTCAGTGATTGAGTGTTGAACTATGAACCAGGAGGTCGTGGTTCAATTCCCAGTCAGGGTACATGCCTGGGTTGCAGGCTCAATCCCCAGTGTGGGGCCTGCAGGGGGAAGCCAAATAATGATTCTCTCTCATCACTGATGTTTCTATCTTTCTCTCCCTCTCCCTTCCTCTCTGAAATCAATAAAAAAATATATTTTTTAAAATCACTATTTGGAAGTGATTTATTATTACATAGCAACACACAACTGGAATAGTTACAACACAGAACACTATTAATTAAAACTTTTTGCCAATCTGGTGAACAAAAATTACTATTTGAGGCTAAATATCCTTTTCATGTATTAATTGGTCAGCTGTATTCTTTGATAAAGTTGCCAATAATTGGCTTGTAATTAAAATCAGGCCCTAACCGGTTTGGCTCAGTGGATAGAGCATCGGCCTGCGGATTCAAGGGTCCCGGGTTCGATTCTGGTCAAGTGCATGTATCTTGGTTGCAAGCTCCTTCCCAGGCCCTGGTCGGGGCTCATACAGGAGGCAACCAATCAATATGTTTCTCTCACATGGATATTTATCTCTGTCTTTCCCTCTCTCTAAAAAATCAATGGAAAAATATCCTTGGGTGAGGATTAACAACAATAACAAAAAAATCAGCATACCTAATTTTTAGGGGCATATTAAGAAAAAGCCTATATTAGAAACTACTTTTACATTATTTATGTATTAAGAATGATGGTTCAAAGTTCAATGGTTCCTCATTCTTAAAGATATTACAACCTTAATCAATGGCCAAGCCTATCTCTCAGATATTAGTCACCAACTTTGTGAAGTTATTCATTCTAAGAACTCAGAAGAAAGTTCACTATTTTCCTCTATAAGAAGAGACAGTTATTTTATTTTTCAAACCAGTTTAATTATTTTTAAAATATTTATTTATGATTTTAGAGAGAGAAAGGAAGGGAGAGAGAGGGGGGAAAGCAGAGGGGAGAGGGAGAGAGGGAGGGAGGGAGGGAGGGAGGGAGAGAGAGAGAGAGAGAGAGAGAGAGGGAAACAACCATTTGTTGTTCCACTTATTTTTGCACTAGGTTGATTCTTGTATGTGCCCTGACCGGTGATTGAACCCACAATCTTGGCATATTGGAACGATGATCTAACCAACTAGCCAGAGCCAAATTAGTTTCAATTATAAAGGATGATTTTTAATCTTCCTCAAAAGAAATCTCCTAAAAAAACAAGATCATCAAGTAGCCTTGTACCTTATGGACTTAATAATACATTAATAAGTGGTCCTGAAGATCTTAGTTTTCAGCTGAGCCTTGAACTAAAACTTTCTTATATGTGACAAAATGACTAAGGAACTATGTCTTTTTATTTATGTGTAATATAACATTTTTTAGTAAAGTTTTAGATATGTCAACTATGACATGCTCATGACTTACATTAGAATATGCCTACAAGTTAGTTCTTGAACTAGAAATACATGTAATTTCAACACATTTTCCATTGGAGTAATCCTATTTTCAAATTGAGTCATCTTTTGTCACCCACTTAAAACCTTTTATCTTGTGAGTCAATATACTTATTTGTTCAGAGTACTTACAGTAAAGAATGTTTAACTATGAAACTCCTTAGATGTCACTATGGTTTAAGGAGAAGGAGTATGGATCACAGGTCAGAACTAGTACTGATGGCGGGTAAGTGAGGGTAACCACTCCCAGAGCTTCTAAACATTCATGGCAGCACAAAAGGCTACCGCTACTTTCTTAGTTGGATTATCTCCAGAGTCAACAAAAGGCATGCACTAACTACAGTTAAGGGTAAAGCTCAAAAATATAAGCTTAAAAGGAAATTTTGTCTACCCCGATTCAGAGCTACCAGGGATTATCTTACTACCCATCCTGACTCTCTATCAAACTGTGAAAGGATGATATATTAAAGCAAAGAAGCGCACCTGCAGACTCACTGGAGGCGGCTTTACTTTTCTTTTTTGTCTCTGGTGGAGGCTGGAATGGTCTCTGCCTCACGTGCTCCTCCCCGGGGATGGCTGTCAGGTCGTGCATGCTGAAACTCCGCAGTCGCTCCGTGATCGCTCCTTGGCTCTATGGAACAGAGAAGCGACAGATCCCAGAAAGGAAAGTACAGCTCAAAATGTTTAATATGCTTACATGGGACATGTCCCCCAACACTTGATCATGAAGCTTATTCATTTTATTATGAAACTTTCAGAAAAGTTGAAATTATTATAGAGTGAACACCCATATGTCATTTGCATTTTTCTTTATTTTCTTTATCCCATATCTATCATTTATCTATCCATCCAACAATTTTTAATGCACTTTAAAGTGAACTGTAGATATCAGCACATTCCATCCCAAACATGTCACCTTTATATTTAATTTTAAAGTGTAAAAAACATATAGAGCTTACCCTCAGAGTAAACAGCACCCATAATTTTGCTCTCTCTTATAACTATCATTTGGGGCTTACGCTTATGATTCAGAAGACATTTTTAAAGTAAGAGCGGTACTATTGTAAGCTAAACTACGTCAGGAGTGGTAATGTCTCTACCCAGAACAGGGTAAAAAAAAAATTTAAGAGCCTAAGAATCTTGGATACAAAATGACATTCAGTTAATGAATTCACTCTCTGGAAAGGCATATCTACTACTGTGAAATTTGACTTTGTCATGTTAACAATATGGTAGGCACTGAACACGTGGATATTTAAATTTAAATAAACTAAAATTAAATAAACTAAAAATCTAGGCCCTTAATTGCACATTTCACAGGCTCAGCAGCCAGACACATGTAGCTAGTGGCTACTGTATTTGATAATGCAGATGCAGGACATTTCCGCTGCTGCAGAAAGTTCAATTATTACATCATTGCACAGCTTGGAAAGGGCATTTCTGAACCTTTTAGACATAACTAGATTTCCCCTTAAAGTATAAAGCTTTGGAAAGAGAAAAAAAGATTTCTAAATTTACTCATTTTGAAAATTTACATAGCACATAGATGACTCATTTCTTATGTATAGCTGAATTAAAAATATTCTTTTGGTGGATTTTTACACTTCTTTCTCCTTCTCACACATGTCAATTTATGACTGCCTCTAGTTATAAAGTTACCATAGAAATTTGTCCCTAATGGTTTATCTCTAAATTTCAAAGCCTAGGTATGGCACTATGAACATTTGAACGTTACTGCTAACATGTATTTTATCCTGAGGGAAATGGTCTTGATTCAGCTACTCTTGAGTTTGTGATATATTATGTTAAAATCAAATGCCTTACCCCACTTAAGTTTTGCAGTTCTACCATATTTTTTTGAGTTTGAAATTACTTGATTACAGGGTCTATATCTTCAACAAAAGTAACTGGGTTCCACACATTTTTTAAAACATTCTTGGCATGGTTTAATTCATTATTCTTTCTTCCTCCTTATCAGATATCAGTTACTTACTTCAGATATCGGTGACTGCAGATTTCAGACAGATACTAAAAGGAAGTGACCGCCCTAACCTGTTTGGCTCAGTGGATAGAGCGTTGGCCTGCGGACTGAAAGGTCCCAGGTTCAATTCCGGTCAAGGGCATGGACCTTGGTTGCAGGCACATCCCCAGTAGGAGGTGTGCAGGAGGCAGCTGATCAATGTTTCTCTCTCATCGATGTTTCTAACTCTCTATCCTTCTCCCTTCCTCTCTGTAAAATATCAATAAAAATATATTTAAAAAAATAAAAATAAATAAAAGGAAGTGACCAATGCTCTCTGAAACAGATGCTTGGTTTTCTCAGAACTATCAATGTCTTTATTTTGTCTTTGTATTTCTGTGCCCTCTCTTAGAAATTCTTGACTTTTTACCTACTGCCAAACAAATGATAAAGGTCATATGCATCCATGTTACCCTCTACCCGACTCAGGTGCAATTTCCAAGGCTGGCTGTGATGCCCAAACAAGCCCTCCTACTCAAGAAAGTACATCTCAGAATGCAAATGAGTCAAAGTGCCACTGAATCAGTCTAGCTTTATATGGTCCACAAACTTTGGTATCTTTGGGTATAATCAACTAATCACTTAGTACAAGTAATTAGTATAATCAACTAATTACTAATCACAAATGAACCCACACATTGTTAGTTCTGTTGTGCTGTATATATTTTGCCTCCAAAACAAGATTTTAAGAAACTAGGTAAGATGAATAAACCTTTGGCTTCTTCAATTTTCCTAATGTACCTGATATGGTACTGATACTGACATACTGAGCAGGTAATAATTAAACTATTCTTTTTATGCCTCTTCTTTTTCATTACTCTTAAAAACAAAAAGGCTAGAGAGAGGGAGGGAGAGAGAGAGAGAGAGAGAGAGAGAGAGAGAGAGAGAGAGAGAGAGAGAAACATGTATTTGTTGTTCCACTTATTTATGCATTCATTGGTTGATTGTTGTTTGTGCCCTGACCGGGGATCGAACCTGCAACCTTGGCATATCAGGAGGACACTCTAACCAACTGAGCTACCTGGCCAGGGTTTTTTTTATTACTCTTGATTGCTTGAGTTCTCTAAAGATAGGGGCTTGTTTAAACATAAACACTGGTGTTTTTATACAGAGGTTAAATGCAAACTACAAGTATTGCCATGGGTATCTACATGGGTAGACTATACCATCCATCAGAGGTTTGTTTCAGGTTTAAATTAAAGGTGAGCAAGGACCAACCCTGAGGTATCTGGGTAATCTACTTACAGCAAAGATTTTAATGTAGCTTGAGTAACCAACCCTACAGCCCTAATTATTATCAATCTCTTCAAGGTTTCAAGAAAGGCCAGGAAAAGCAAATAGAGGCTGTACACCACCTTTGAGGACTCCCAACACTTCAACAGCCATTATCGTTTCAAAAAATCTTATTTTCCCACTGTATATTTTTTAATGGGCCCAGAATAGAGTTAATATGGAAAGAGAAAATTAATGCAGTATTGTGAACTCAGAAAACATTATATAAATTGTAAGCATCCAGGGAAAACTCTAATTATAAAATAATCACACCTAGATGCAGACCTATTCCCTCTAATTTTTATGTCTTTAGAACAAAAAGTCTATTAAGAAAGAAATTATGTTTGTAATAAAATAAGTGGAAATACGTCCCCTCTACCTCAGATTTCGAAAGCATATGCATAGTATGATTACAAGTATGAAGTATGGTTATAAGTAGGGAAAATAAGCAAAAAATGAACAGGATAATGTTTAGGCAGATGTGATGAGTGATTTTTCCCCTTTTTTCCCCAACAATTTCTTTAATATTGCAAAATTAGTCATAGAGGGTATAAGTGAAGTTTTAATTGTAATGAGATGCATAATAAAAATTTCAATAATGTTGCCCTAACCGGTTTGGCTCAGTGGATAGAGCGTCGGCCTGCGGACTGAATGGTCCCAGGTTCGATTCCGGTCAAGGGCATGTACCTTGGTTGCAGGCACATCCCCAGTAGGGGCCGTGCAGGAGGCAGCTGATCGATGTTTCTCTCTCATTGATGTTTCTAACTCTCTATCCCTCTCCCTTCCTCTCTATAAAAAATCAATAAAATATATTTTTAAAAAATTTTTCAATAATGTTTATAAGCTTACAACAATCTTTTACAGAACAATTCTTACCATACTGTTCAACAATGAATGGCCAGTAAGCTCTATTTCTGTTATCCTTGACATACTACACTGTAATGCAGAGAAGGCAAGTTGCCAGGTTTTAGGGAAATCTCTTTTCCCTATGGACATTCATCAATTAATCTGATCAAGTCTAAAATAGAACTGACTGTATTTGCATTAAGTGAATAATGTATTTTAGTGGTTTTAAGGTGAAAAAACATATTTATCAAAGAACATTTATAACGGAGAAAAACATACAAAAGAAAAATTGTTTGTAATCTACCACCAAAACTACCTATACCTATTTAAATATCCTTTTAGCTTTATCGGACTCATCATACTTTCTCAACTTCAGCACTACTGCTACTTTGGGTTGGATAATTTTTTGTTGTAGGGAAACTTTCCCGTGCAGTGTAAGATATGAAGTAGCTCCCTGATCTCTCCCTCTTGGATGCAAGGAGTAGCATCCTCTCCCTCAGTTGTGACAACCCAAAATGTCTCCAGACATTGCCAGATGTCCCGTGGGAGGCAAAATCAACCCCCTTGAGAAACACTCTTAGAGATATAAGAGGTTTTAGAGGTCAAGTTTCCCCCCTCTGTTTTTACAGGTAAGAAAATTTATACTGAAAGAGATGAGTGCAGATGATTTGCCCAAAAATCTCATGGCTAATTTGTGGCAGCATCAGAGCTAAAAATGGCAGATGAGTTGACTGCTATAGAATTCCATGTTCATTATAACATTCTGCTTCCTAGACAATAAGGAAATAGCATGGCCATTTTTCCCCATTGTCTGAACAACTGCCTTCTTTTTAAAATTGCTAATAAGCAGCTGAATATCCACAAATCTTTTCACAAACTGAAAGCCACTAAAACAGACAGCAAGATGTCAGGATCTCTGACCTAATTCTGAACACTTGAAGTCAATTAGAGATCATCAAGTTTACCTGTAAGGCTCTAATTTCTGTGATAATCGATTTTTTGAAAATAATATCTGCTAAATAATTTACCAAAGGCTGCCAGAGAAAATTCTAAGAGATGGTTAATGTGACTAACAGTCTCATTAACTTGTCCTTCATCCGGCAGTAGTGCTGTTCATCTGTACAAAAGCCACCTGCATTTTTCATGTGAAAATCTACGGAATACTGAACACCCTCAGCAAAATCCTTGAAGGTCCTTCATATGTTTATGCTTTGCTCAGCCAAAATAAACTCGTACATTGACCTTGTGAACAGATGCCTGGTAATGAGGTCATAGAACTGAGTAACATTTTCAGAAAATTGCTTTACGGTGTAATAAATGCTCTGTTAGATTCCTATTTTAATCTCTAACAGGCTCAGGTGGTTCAACCGAGGAAACCTAGTCAGGGGCATTACCAATAGTTAAAGGTCACACCAAGAGTCCAAATATTTTTAGCCTAAAAGATATATTTTAAGAAACTATATGTTGTAAAATTTTTAAACAATTCTCAAACCTAACTCCTGGCTTTCTTGCAGTTTCTCCTCAAACTTGACCTATTTTCCTATTTCAGTTTCAATTTATTCCTCTGTATGAATTGTCTGGTTCAGTGATTCTTCCATCATGGTGTCTTTCTTTGACATCTCCAGAGATGAAATTAATTTCACCTACTTTAAAAGAGGCACAGTACAACTTGAGGCAAATAGTGTTACTGTGATGTTATGTTCAGCATGTTTAATGAGTATTTCTAATGAATAAAATCCAGGATGGTTGAAGCCAACCTTCCTGTGCTCACATTGAGAATGGCAAGGGCCACCTCACAGTGATCTTGATAACAAAAGGATCATGAAATCACAAAGGGAAAGTTCCATAATGAATTCAAATTATGGGATAAGTGTTTATCTAAGTGGTCACTTAGATGATTTTATGCTCTCTGTTTCCTGCTTTTGAAGGGAGATGTTTTTAAGGCTTATATATATATAAAAACAAACAAACAATGAATCACAAAACAGAAATATAGGTATATGATTCTACAGAGAGGTATTTCTGTGAGATAACACTTATTTTGACTATGCAATTCCTAGTTGTTGAGTGGTGGGACTCCTGGATGACCTTTTTTATTAGACATGGGAACCAGGAATGCATTTTCATTAAGCAAGATATAAAAAGCAAATGTACTTCTTCTACAAGAAAAAATAATCCTTAAATAAGCTGGAAATATTGCTATTTTGGTATTTGCTTATATCTCTACTAATAAAAAACCTTCAGAAGCCAATAATAGGGAAACTGTACTAAAGTGCTGATAGATAATAATTAATAAGACTTGTCTTACATGTATAGTGTTATATAGTTAACTAGAGGCCTGGTGCACAAAAATTTGTGCACTGGCGGGGGAGGGGGGGGAAGAGTGTCCCTCAGCCCCACTTGTGCCCTCTCACAGTCTGAGACCCCTCGGGAGATAACCACCTGCTGGCTTAGGCCCGCTCCCTAGGTGGCAGATGGCAGGCCCGATCCCTCGGTGCCTGCCCCGCCTCCCCGGGTCGTGCACATGGCAGGGCCGATCCGGGGGTTGGGGCACCGCCCCGGGTCGGGTTGTACACGGGATGCCTGGGCGGGCTGGCCGATCACTGCTGTACTGCCCGGCCACCCTGGGTCGGGTCGCACACAGACGCCTGCCGCCCCGGGTCGCAGATAGCAGGCCCGGATGGCGGCAGGGCAGGGGGGATGGCGCTGTCCTGCCATGCCTGCAGTATGCAAATTAGCTGCCATCTTTGTTGGCGGTTAATTTGCTTATCACGCTGATTAGCCAATGGGAGGCGTAGCAAAGGTATGGTCAATTACCATGTTTGTCTATTATTAGATAGGATGTTTCCACTTAATTATCAATGTAACACTTCTAGTATATAATGTCAACTTTTTATCCTGTTAATCCTATTAATTATGATACTTCAGCTAAAGATCACCCTGAAAAAAGAAGGCCCATTTGACATTTTATATCCCTTCACCATTGCTATTATATAAAATCACCACTTAACTAGAATATTTCCATAGCATTAATGTTTTAGTTCAAAATAACTAAGTTGAAAAAGCCGAACTCAAAAGCTAGAATACTATTTAGTCTCAATTTAACTTAATAGCAACAAAATCAAATTTTCCCCTTAATTTTGATAGATACATGATATTTCTGTTTATTGGGTTCCTACTATATTTTGATAAGCACTGTGCTTTTATACATGCCCTCACCAATGGGTATATTATCCCTGTTTTATACATGAAGCCACTAAGGAATACAGAAGTTAAGTAAATTGCTGACGGTTATTTAGAGAGTCATACTCAGCACTTTTGGGGTTTGAAGCCCGTTTTCTCTGCATACACTGCACACCAAAATCAATTATACTATCACATTTAAAATAAACCACACTAATTACTACATGCAAAGGAATCCAAAAGCCACAATGCAAGTTTTCACAGAAGGCATTCATTTGATAACTTGGCTTGCAAAACACAACACATGACATTAGTAGTGGCTAAGTAAAATCTCAAGTTTTCCATGCCTTATTTTGAATAATCAGTTACCTCAAATTGGTTGAAGTAGGGGTGCAGAAGTAAGCCAGAAATCCTATCAAGATATTGCCACCGAGAGAGAGAATGCCAAAGACAAGGAAAGAAAGAACGGTCATCTTTACTAAAGGTGATTTACTCAAACTATTTGAAGTTTATAAAGTAGGAAAGTTATGGCAAAATGACATTTTCTGGTTTATTTATTAACTAGCTCTCATTTTGTGATCGATTAAGAGTTTCAAAATATTTAGTTACAGAAAATGTGTAAAAATGCTTATAACATGACATACTTGTTTTTCCCAGTATTAAAAAAATAAACAGAGAGCAAAATTCTGCCAACATTTCATACTGATCTGAAATAAAGAGCCACCCTACTTTATCCGTTGACTTAATGTGCTTTGGATAAACACTGTAAATAAGAAATTACCTTCACTGCTGCAGTAACTGCGGCAGTAGCTGCCAAGTTTAAACCTTGTCGTCCAAAGTTTACCATCGTCTCATAGCCTCGTTCTTTTGCTTGTACAATATAATCATCAATCTCCTGGGAGGAAAAAAAACCCAACCACATAGATATTAATTATATTTAAGTATAGTGTCCAGAAGCAAAAAAATAGGACTCTCCCATAATATAATCATTTCACAATTTTTATAGCATAAAGCATTTGATGATATATATTTCTAACAAATGATTGATGGCAATAATTTAAATATCTTACCCTTTCCTTTGAAGAAAGAAGTGGATGAAGGAATTTTCTATATATTAAACTTGCTCCTTTGGTATAGGGAGAGAGCAGCCATATGACAAAAGCAATCTTAAGTTCATAGTACAGGGGGAACCTAACAAGAAAAAATTTGAAGGGAAAAAAAAAGCCAATGAAAAGAAACTCCAGACAATGAACAAGTAACAAAACACTTTCTAAAAAGTTCAGTCTCTATGTTAAATTTTCATACGTAAAAGTGAGAGATCGAAGAAACACCTGTGTTTGAATGACAAACTAATTTAGTTAAATATAGATATCAGTTGAGGGAAGAGCAACCTGATCCCCACAGAGATTCACACCTTCCAGTGAAGATTCTTCAGTGTAAGCATTGCGCACAGGGAAGCTGCCAACCGAGTGTGGCAGTCCAGAGGGCACTGACAGCATTTAACCAGGCAGTGAGGTAGCCCCGTTCTGTCTGCAGAGCCTAACAGCCCTGGCGGTTCCTGATACACCTCCAACCATAAGGACTTATATTTATAGGCCACACGTGCACAATGTTAGCCCATACACACATCTTCTCATTCTCAGAACTCCCAGGAAACTTCCCCTCCCATCTCATTTGGCCAGAATTCCAGCACTTTGCAGACCTAAATTGTTCACTTGCAAAAGAAACGGAATTACCACTGTGGTAGACTGAGAGTTAGGGTTAGATCTGGCCCATGCCCCTTTTCATGAGACTTTGCAATGCCTTCCCAGTAGGCTGAGTACACTTCCCCAAGCAGTGACAGTGGGCTTAACCATGTGACCTGCTTTTGCAAGCAGAAAGAGTGTGACAAGTCACATGCAAGGAGAAGCTTTAGATGCCCTTTGACTCCCTCACCCCAACACCCCCACCCTCTTGCTTTAAATGTTTGCCTTCTGCTGTGACAAGTGCTTCTTCAGCCTTGGTCCCATAAAGAAGAGACACTTGAAATAGTCAAGCCCAGCAAAGCGGCAGCAACCATCTGCCCTCATGTAGTTTGAACAAGAAATAAATGTTTGTTTTTCTAACTTATGCTTTTGGGGTTATTTGCTGCCACAGCAAGTTAACTAATACAGCATGAGGGAATCAACATCCTGCGGTCATGAAGATACAGTATGACTGAAAAACCTGGACTCTTCTGAGGAGGCAGATGGGTATCGGGCAGTGAGGAATGCCAGCAGAAGGTCTCCGCGATGCTGCAATCACAGAGGAATTTCTGGTTTTCACTGATGGTGGTAAATGCTCCCTACACTGTTCTTTGTTGTTTTTTTTTATTCCACACCTGAGGAGTTTTTTTTTGTTTTTTTTTTTTTGTTTTTGAGAGAGAGAGAGAGAGAGAGAGAGAGAGAGAGAGAGAGAGAGAGAGAGAAACACCACTTGGTTGCTTTCTGTATGTGCCCTGACCAGGGATCATACCAGCAGCCTAGGCATGTGCCCTGACTGGGAATTGAGCCAGCAACCTTTTGGTATATGAAGCTCCAACCAAGTGAACCACCTGGCCAGGGCCAGTTTTTTAATAATATATGCTATATTTGCAATCATAAAACAATGAGAAGTCTTTACAAAAAGAACTTTGAGACTCAAGAGGCCTACCATGATTTGGAATCTGTGTTCGGACATTTAAAAACAAACAAACAGAAAACCCTCTCCCAAACCCCTATACCAAAAACATACCAGGGAAATGAATGAGCTATGGGACAGAAAAAGGAAGAGAAAGATGGATGAGATGTAGTACAGAGAAATTCATAAATAAGGGCAGGATGCTAAGAACATTTAAGTCTGATGACTTCAATTTTTTTTTCTAGCAATCCAATGTGACCTAATGTACCGTGAGAATATGATGAGAATAGCAAAGTCAGAAAGACAGTTTAAGGAGAGAACAGTACATGTGTGAAACAGATATAAGAGGGAATTGGAAGTAGCAACTGACCAAAAGCAAGTAAAAGAAGTAGGGAAGTTCAAACTGATACCTATATGAGCAACTGATTGATTTTTTCAGCTCATTTAGTAGCCTGGGAAAGAAGTAAAGACAACTGGGCTTATTTAGGCTGAAGGATAGCCCAGCAAGGGCAGCTTAAGATACTGGCAAGGTAGTAAGTTTACAGATTCTGAAAGGAGGACTTTTCCACGTGATGGCAAGATTTAGATAGAAACGCACTACTGAAATACAGCACAAGGAGATTCAAGTTGTCCCATTAAGTCAGCGGTTCTCAAGCTGTGGGTCGAGACCCCTTTGGCGGTCGAACGACCCTTTCACAGGAGTCGCCTAAGACCATCCTGCATATCAGATATTTACATTACGATTCATAACAGTAGCAACATTACAGTTATGAAGTAGCAACGAAAATAATTTTATGGTTGGGTCACAACATGAGGAACTGTATTTAAAGGGCCAGAAGGTTGAGATTAAGTATTTGCTCCTCAGTAAAATGTTAAATCCTTGAGGATATAAACGTGCTTTAATTTTATCTTAGAGGTTTGGAACAGAGTTGGAGGTCAATGGGTGTCCCCATGGATACCATCCAATTTGAATGTAGATGAGAGTTTTAAGGATGGGGAGGGACTGCTGTGGGTGTCAAAAGAGGAGTCTTTTAGGAAGTAATAAAGAAAAATAGCCTGAAGACATAAGTGTGGAAAAAAAGAATGAGAACCAATTTCTCTATTCCAGATCGTGGGAGATGTGTGGGGGATGGGCAGGGAGTGGCCTGTGGGAAGAATGAGCTGCCTTTATTCCAGAGAGACTGTAAGGAAAGTAATGTTCTTATGGGGAAACCAGATCAAGAAACGAGACACTGGATAATTAGGTAACTTGATCAAAGTCACTTAGTTAACAGCAAAAGCAGGATAAGAACTCAGGACACCTGATAACAACTCTATAGTCTGGTCCTTTCTCAATATTAGAACTTACCAAGCAACTGTCTGATCTGCTACTGTTTCAATCACAGTGTAGAGAGCAAAAACAATCCAGTACATCATCCATCGAACCTGCCAATAATAAAAATACTTATGAAATAATAAAGTAAAATTATTTGTAACTGAATAATTCTGTATATCTCATATATATATACATTTCTATATATATAGTATGTTGGATCAAATGCAGAAGGTAATGGTTTAATTTTCAACAGGTTTTATGTTTGAGCTCCACACATCACTGTATCAGCAGTCCTGGGATACAAGAACCAAAAGAATAACACATCTCTGGGCATGATATAATGTAACATAGGGATCTGAATGAAAGAATTAGAAAAACAGGATATATTTCTCTTAACTAAAGGAAAGTAGAAGATCTTATCTATAATCCTTCTTTTGGAGACTATTAGCTATTTAATTATTATATAAATAATATGGTAGACCACATTTAATCTGTATCAGTTTTTTAAATTTTGCATTCCTATATTTTCCATATATAGAAACTTTTCAGAAACCAAAGAACAATCCTGGATTTGTTATATGCACAATGCTAGTCACTCATTTGGAAAGTCTAAGGTTAGTGTCGTCTTCTTTCCCTACATATAAATCTGTTACGGCTCATACATCCATTTCTTTCTTCTAATCCATTACCACAATGACAGTTACAATAGACTGAATGTTTGGGTCCCCCCAAAATTCATGTTAAAATCCTAATCTCAAATGTGTATTAGGAGGTGGAGCTATTGGGAGGTTATGAGGTCATGAGAGTAGAGTCTTCAAAAATTAGTGTTCTAAAAGGACTCTCAGAGAGCTCTCTCCCCTTCCACCATACAAGGACACAGCCAAAAAATGATGGTGTCTGAACCAATTTTTTTCAGTTCTCTCCCTCTACTATTGTTGTAATGTACCCCGCGAATCACAGAAGGACGCCTCAAGAAGTCGAATTAAAGAGTCACATTTATTGCAATCCGGGACTATGAGGGGCCATCCCCAAATCTCATAGCAATAAGATGGTGGCAAAACCAGACTTATATAGGCAAAAATCACAAAGGTATTGATTACATCTCAGGGTTTGGAATGAGGCACCTGGCTCGCAAAAAAAGCAGATTACAGAAGCAGAATTAAGCATGTTAATTACAGTTTCGGGTCTCGGGGTCACTGAATTGACAGAAATACATTATCTAGAGCCCTTGGGTAACCTGGGTTAAACTTAGGCATGTTATCTAAATTATAGTTCTGGGTCTCCGGATCACTGAGTTGATAGAAACACATTATCTAGAGCCATCGAGGCAATTTAGAGTAATTGCACTGTCCTGGTCTTAGGACCACTGAGTCAACTGGAACGCACCACCTGTGGCCACTAAAACAATTTAGGGTAATTGTGCTGTCCTGTCTCCCAGGTACAGAAGAATGTGCTTCGATAACCAGTGAGATCACAATCAGTGGGATGGTCATTCAATCAATAAGTCATTCAATCGAATGGGATGATTTATACAATTCAGAAAATCAAAATAACCTGTCCATTGTTAAACAAAGCAAATAGGTACCATACTTCACTATACTCTGCACAGGGATCTCAGAGAACATTATCACCATCTTTCCTGGGAAGGTGGGGGCTTAAATTAAATTCTCACTTTCACAGAAAGTTTAGGAAACTTTCAGAAACATAAATTATTTAAGTCAATGCTTGTTATTCATTATTTCACAGTTTCACAACTATCATTATGCTTGTGATCTTCCAAGTGGAAAAGAACAATAAATAATACTCCAAGGAGAGTCTTAATTTGCCTGTTAATAGACCTGAGTAAAGGTGAAAGGGATTGTTCAGACAGTAGCTGGTGGAATGCCCTGAAAGACTAGTTCTTGGATTTACAGCTGCTACACACCCCATAGATTTCAAAAACACCCTTGCTTCAGTGTAGTCAAGTGCTTATTCACTTTTCAAATAAAATTATCAAATTAATTTTAAAACTCACAAAATAAATTACTGCTTTAAAATATAGAAAGTTTATCTCCAAAAGAGCAAAACATGTATGTACTTAGGTTGTGAGAATATTTAATAATGTCAACAATTTAAAAAAAAGGATAAAAAGAAGAAAAAGAAGGGTATGCCTTTTTAGTTAAAAAACATCAACAAACTAATCAATGGGGTGTTCCTGGACATTTTCCTGGGGGATTGGCTAAAATTTTACATAAGCAAAACTCTATGGTTTTAATTTATATTTAATAAATAAATTTTTTGACAACATGCTCTCTTAACCTTGTGGAATTTTTGTTCTCCTTATAAGAAATATGGATCTCAAATATAGTTGAATCCAAGCAATAGTTAAATGAATTCAGTGTGTGTGTGTGTGTGTTTTATTCATGGGAGCGACCACAAAGAAAGTTAACCTTGAAAAGATATTACTTCCTTTTTCCACTAATGGATTTGGTCGGGATTTTATACCAAATGATTACTCAGCAAAGCTTTTATTAAAACTATACCTCAAGGCTGTCCAGCCTACTGTTTAAGGTTTTGCCCAAAGGAAAAACAGAAATAAGTCAAGGTTAAAAAAAGAAGTCGAGAAGAGGGCAAGCCACCAAATTATAAGCACAACTAATAATATGTGATGATAAAATATTCTTTAGACCAGCAGAAAACACCAATAACAAAATGCAGTACTAAAACAAAAAAAATTGGTAGGAAAACAATCACATTGATAATGTTGTAAGTGTATGCAATCAAATAATGGGAATAAGTGCTATTAAAATGTCATGCAAATAAAAGTCACTTATCAGGTAACTAATAAATCACCATCCCCCTTTCAAGTTACTGGAAAAAAAGGTTACTGGCATCATCTTTATTGGTAAAAATTTATGTTCTTGAAAAACTGTGATCAAATAGTATTTCTTTCCAGTTCAAAAACAATTGGTAAAATCAACAAACTGTTGTTTAGATAGTTTTGCAAGAACAATGAGTAATAAGAAAACGTACTCAACTGTTTCTTAAAAGTAAGTCTCTTTGATCCCAGGGAATTGAATTGAATTATCCAATAAGGTGAAACTTATACCTATAAACACTAAGATGGACACACACACACACACACACACATATCCTACTTTTAATCTTTCATATCAAGCATAATTTAGGTAATTCTTAAGGACTCAAGTGGCATTACTATTTTATAACATTCATTCACAAAACTGCAGCAAACCCTACCTACTTCATGTCATGGTAACAAATAGGAATATGACAACTTTTGTCCTCAAGGATTTAACATTTTATTGGGGAGAAAAATGAGTGAATGACTGTGACCAAAAAAAAAAAGTTCTGTTATTTTCACATTAGATGCTCTAGCTTCAGTAAGAGTCAAGATCATAAGAAATTAAGGAAAGCTTACTAAAGGGGCTGTTTATAAGTTGTGGGCAAGGTAGAGGAAAATCAATAAAGGATAGTGGTGTACTCTTGAGGGAGCAACAGCAGGAACTGCCATCACCCCTAGGTGTGAAGGAGGGAGGAGTGGGAAAGGTTTCCAGGAGAGGGTCACTGTAGGGGAGGGCTGCAGCCTCAGGTCGAGACACAGCCAACCAGTGGGGGCAGGAAGTGGGGAGATCAATATTCTTTTTTTTTTTAAAATATATTTTATTGACTTTTTACAGAGAGGAAGGGAGAGAGATAGATAGTCAGAAACATCGATGGGAGAGAAACATCGACCAGCTGCCTCCTGCACATCTCCCACGGGGGATGTGCCCGCAACCCAGGTACATGCCCCTGACCGGAATCGAACCCGGGACCTTTCAGTCCGCAGGCCGACGCTCTATCCACTGAGCCAAACCGGTTTTGGCGAGATCAATATTCTGTCCTCATGTTCACCCTGTCTTCTGCCCCTCATGGGCAAACCCAAAGGGAAGCCAGAACTGATGCCATCTGTATGGGTCAGCTTCCTGGGCCATAAGGAAGGAAAAGAATGTGGAGTGTGGAGAGGAAACTCCACTGGAAGGATGGAAGGTTCCAGCACTACTCAGCCTGTCAGCTCTTAGAAACATCCCCAGAACGGAGTCACTTCTCATCACTTCCACAGATACCTCCCAGCCCAGATGACCATAATCTCCTGTCTGGGTGATTCCCAGAGCTGATCACTCTGCTTCTCTGGATTTATTTTGCATAGAGCAGTCAGAGTTATCGCCTTAGAACACAAGCCAAATCATGTCATTCCTCTGGTTCAAATCCCTCCCATGGCCCCCATCAGGAATCTCACCACAGCCTAGAAGGTCCTATGGATCTGGCACCAGCACTCCTACTCCTTCCCCTGTTCATCTCCAGGCACAGTAGCCCTTTTCCTGTCCTTGGGCATGTGTGTGAATATGCTCCTGCCTCAGCGCCTTAGTACATGCGTTTCCTTGCCTGAAATGCTCTTCCTCATATGAAGAGCTTCCTCACTTGCTTCAGGTCTCTGTGCAAATATTATCAGAGATGCCTTTCCTGACCACTCTGCTTGAAATATCTCTATCCTCCTAACTCCCTTATCCTGATTGATTTTTCTCTTTAGCATATGTCACATATCACAGACACATCTAACAAATATTTACTGCCCCTCCCCACCTTCCCCTACTAGAATGTAAACCCCAAGAGGGCAAAGGCCTTATTTTGTGCACTGCTGAAGCCCCTGTGCCCGGCACAGAAGGGGCTCAGGAAATATACGTTGATGAACTGTTGACTGAATATGGGCCTGCAAAAGGTTAGACAGCAGATAGGAGGTGAAGACATGATGGGTAAATATAAACTAGTCTTTTAAGAGATCTGGTTTAAAGAGAAAAAAGGAAGGGGGAATACAAAGTAGCCTGAGGCAAAATGAAAGCATATTTGCATCCTCAAGGATGGCACGTTTTACCATAGAGACAGTGAGACTGAAATTATGAGAAAGCAGAAATCCTTAATGAAACCAGATCCAAGATGAGGCTAAGAAGATTAGGAAGAAGAGTGGGCTCAAGAAAGAAGCAGGGATGCATCTTCCCCGGGACAAAAGGAGAGGAAAGAGTGGCCGTGTTGACGCGAGGGTTGAAGTGGTCATAGCTGATGACCTCTATGTTTA